CTCTGTTCCTCCACTGCACACATTTGGCAAAAGTTCAGCCCTCGTTAAGCCCAACTCTGCACCTACTCCAAGCTCGTGCCCAAGCAGCTGAACGTGGCTGGACAGAACATAGAAAATCTTTACTCTAAATGTCTGACCAGAGGCCGGGCATGGTGGCTCACATCTATAATCCCAGCACTTTGGGAGGCTGAGGCGGGAAGATCACTTGAGGCCAAGAGTTGAAGAACAGCCTGGCAACATAGCAAGACTCCCATCTCTACAAAATATAAAAAAAATTAGCCAGGTGTGATAGCACACACCTGTAGTCCTAGCTACTCAGGAGGCTGAGGTGGGAGGATCACCTGAGCCCAGGAATTGGAGGCTGCAGTGAGCTGTAGTCATGCCACTGCACTCTAGCCTAGCAAGATTCTAGCAAGACTGTCTCTAAAAAGAATAAAATAAAATAATGTTTGACCATAAATCTGCAGTGACACTGAGAACTGCCCAGCAACCAGCCACATTTCCCAAGCTAGTTCACTGAAGTCTCCACAATGACTATTCCTTTTCCTATCTCCCCAGGTCTCCAGTACTCCTCCCTCCCACCCCTGCTTACTCTCAATTGATGACCTCACTAAAAACACAGAAGCAACCAAAAGAGAATTACCTCTTTTTCCCAGGACAAATGTACCAACCTGCTTGCATCTATACTTATACACTCTTCCTTCTTTCCTGCTGCAATGGATCCACCAGCCCTGTGCCTCTACTACCCAACTGATCCTGTCCTCTCTTCCTTATCTGGGACTTTGCTCTCACAATCTCCCCCTCTAAAAACTCTCGAACTGCCATCTCCAGCCTGGCTCTAACCCCTTATATCCACCTGCTAACCTGACAGCTCCACTTGGATGACTAATAAGCATCTCAAACCCGACATGTCCAAAACAGGATCCTTACTTCCCTACCCACCCCTGCCCCACACCCTGTGTTCCTCAGTAAATGGCACCAGTGGCACCACCCTTCGTGCTATAGCTTGAGCCAAGACCTTGGGGCCATCCTTAACCTCCCCTTTCCCACATCCAATCTCACAGCAAGTCTTCATTATTCTACCTTCAAAATATAACACATGAGGATCCCTACATTTCCCTCCACCGCCACTGCGTCCCCTGCAGTCTCCCATCATCTCCGGCCCATACAACTGCACAAGCGTGGTATGCAGTCTGCAGGCTTCCACTCTCGCCCTCCGACCGCCTACTCTCAGCAGAATGGCCAGGGAGATGTTTATAGAACACAGGCCAATAATGACACTCCCCCGCCTGAAATCCTTCGATGGCTTTCCCTCAGAGAATAAAGCCCAGACTCCTCACCGCGCAAACAAGGCCCCAGTGCTCCGGCCCCTCCCCTCCCTTCTCCTCTTTGTCCATTCCAGAACACCGGCCTTCTGGCTCTTTCTCACACCAAGATCATTCTGCTTCAGAAGTGTGCACTTGCTGTTCTCCCAATCCAGGAAGCTCTTCCCTTTGACCTTCACACACTAGTTCCTTCGCATTATTCAGGCTCAGATGTCCCCTCCCCAGAGAGGCCTTTCCAGACCACTCCCCCTTAGATAGTGTCTCACCCCTCCGTCACTCTTTGTGCTGATACTTCATTCTTCTTCTTCACTAGCTGAAATTATATTACCTATTCATTTGTTTATTGTCTATTTTCCCCACTAGAATGGGAGCTACATGAACTGGCACAGAGAATACGCTTAATAAATATTTGTTGAATTAAAGGATATTACTTTTATGGTAAAAATAATTTTTTAAAATTTAACTGCAGGTACAATCACCACATTGTAAATAAACTATACCTATGGAGAAAGACCAGAAGAGAACAGAAAAAAATGAAAGTAGTTACCATAGGAAATTTTTTTTTATTTATACCACCCTATTCTTATGTTGTGATATTCTTGTTACAATAAAAACAATGGCTTTTCTTTCCCAGATGAAAGATGAACGAGGATCTGTCAGTGCCAGAAGGCCACTACTCCACACCTGAGTCGTGAGCAAGAGAAAAGCAGCTCCTGATACTTGGGAGCCGGCCTGGTACTAACAAGGCCTTGGTGCTCTGCTGTTGAACATCAACACTAGGCACGGCCACTCTGTGACCACGATGGATTAAGACAGAAACAAGACCACTCTGCAATGATACCTGAACACAGACAAAGCATGAACATCATCCCAGCCATGAAACACCAAACAGCCCCCTCTCCCAGGTAATGAGTGACCACTGCTTCCTTTCAATTTCGGCTTTGGGCCTGCTTCAACTTACTTTATTTTGTTTTATTTATTTGTTAATGTAGGTAGGCAGGTATTTATTTATTTGAGACAGGGTGTTGTTTTCTTACCCAGGCTAGAATGCAGTGGTGCAATCATAGCTCACTGCAACCTCGAACTCCTAGGCTCAAGAAATCCTCCTGCCTCATTCTCCCCAGTAGCTGGGACTAGAGGAACACACCACCAAGCCTGGCTAATTTTTTTATTTTTTGTAGAGATGAGCTCTCGCTGTGTTGCACAGGCTTGTCTCGAACTCCTGGGCTCAAGCAATCCTCCTGCCTCAGCCCCCCAAAGTATTGGTATTATAGGCATTAGCCGCCACCCTGGCTGGCCCTGCTTTAATCTGCTCTCCCTACAGGTAAGATTTATTAAAATACTCAATCATAGAATTACCCATTTCCTGACAGCATCCAATCCAGAGCAAAGTCCTGACTCTTTAAAACTTTTCTAATATTGCCAGTCTGAGCAAGAGCAAGACCCCGTCTCTACAAAAACTAGAAAAATTAGCTAGGTGCAGTGGCGTACTCCTATGGTCCCAGCTACTCGGGAGGCTGAGGCAGGAGGATCACTTGAGCCCAGGAGTTTGAAATTGCAGTGAGCTATGATGACGATGACGCCAATGCACTCTAGCCTGGGTGACAGAGTGAGACCCTATCTCAAAACAAAAAACAAACAAACAAAAAACTTTTCCAATATAGGTTGGGTACAGTAGCTCATGCCTATAATCCCTGCACTTTGGGAAGCTGAGGCATTAGGGTCACTTGAGCCCAGGAGCTCGTGACCAGCCTACACAACACAGCAAGAGCTCAACTCTACAAAAATAAAAAAAATTAGCCAGGCATGGTGGCATGTGCCTGTAGTTCCAGCTACTGTGAAGGCTGAGGCAGGAGGATCACTTGAGCCCAGGAGTTTGGAAGCTGCTGTGACCTACGATCGCATCACTGTACTCCAGCCTGGGTGACAGAGAGACCCTGTCTTTAAAAAAAAAAAAGCTTTCCATATCACTACCACAAGCCCAAATCCTGTAATAAGTCCTTCTACTCCGTCCTCCTGAGACGCCCTTGCTGCCCTGCGGTGCATTCTCCCTCATGGTAACGAGCAATAAGCCCAACTCGTTCAGCAACAGGTGTGTTCCTAGCTGTCTTTGGCTGGAAGGCAGTGACAGTTGTCATGACATCAGTTGCCATTACAGGCCACTGTACATGAAAAAGTCATAGGAGCCTGGCTGGAAAACTGACCCCAAGATATAATCTCGATTCTGGTTGTCTGAATACATTCCCTGACATTGGTTGATTTTCTTATCATCTGCCTCTTTCTCCTAAAAGCTGGATAAAAGGAGTAAAAAGTCTAGTTAATTAAATGTATCAGTGAATAATGTTACAATTGATCCATTATGCCCTGCAAGCTTCCCTTCCCTCCCATTTCTGAAAGTTACTCCGAGCACAAGGTCAGAGTGGTGCTGGGGGACTGACTCATGGGCAGGGCCTGAGGCAACATCATTCAAGTACTTTAAGCCACATGTTCAAGCCCAATAAATTAGGCCAGGCTTAAAGAAGTCAAGCTGTACACATGTAAGAATTTTAATAAGCTTGGAAAATGCTACCTAAAGCTTATACACAAGCTTACTGTACCAATGGGATTCCCTGCCACCAGCCACCGCGTGCTAAGCCCCTGACAAGAGCTGTCGAGCACGTGGCAGCAGGGACAGGGAGTCTGCTTGGTCCAGGTTTCCTCAGGAGTTGGGGACTCGCAGCAGAAGGCTGGCAGCCAGATGGACGGAGAACAGAATGGGGCATGCAGCTCAGTGGAGCCAACGGCATTTACTAGGAAAACACGCCGAGGGTTCTTTGGTGGAAATCTGGTCCTCGCACACCCTTCTAGAAACTAGCAAACACTGTAATCAATGTCTGCATCTATCAAATGCCTGTTTGTACCCAGAACTGTATTAGGTACAATAGAGAGTTATTTAAGCAAACGTGGTCTCTGACTTCTAGATGCTGACACCTAATATAAATAAAAACAATAAATCTGTCTGAGGGATTACCAAACTAACTGAACAAACACGAACAGTCAAGAGCGTTCACCTTACATAAATGCCATGGAGTAAGAACTGAAGGGCAAGTCATGGGAGATGACTCTCTAAACAGGGTGAGGCCCTGATGGAACAGTTACCTTGTTAAAACCGAGTCTCCAAGGGGGAGGTCAGGTTTTAAGAAGAGTTTCAAGAGCTGGCTGCTGAGCCCAGGGAAAGCAAGCCAGTCAGGGAGGGTGGTGCAGCGTGGGAGATGATTTAGAGACAGAAATACAACTACAGAAGCAGGAAAACTTACCAACTGCCCAGGAAAAGTAGGGGTAGTCAGTCAAGCAGGTATACGTTTCCCACCTGGTTTAACTCATAAATATAAAAAGTTCACACCCTCTTTCAATGTTTTTAAACTTTCAAAAGAAACCAAATACCCTAACCGATACCAAATCAAAGCAATAGCGGTTTCAGAATTTGATTTTCCAAATAACACAAACCACCCTCTTCCCTCAGAACTAAGAATCGCCCAATTGGGTGGTAGCAACTGTCAACAGGAATGTAACTCTACCACTGAATTCTTAAGGAAGGGAGGCTTGGATCCTGAGTCCACACAGGACCAGATGACCTGCAGTATCAGAAAGTGACAATAATAGACCATGGCCCTAGCAAGGATTTATAATAATTACCTGATTAAAATTTTTGAAGGAGAACTCTTTGTAGATGGCATCTCTGTCACTGGATACTGACCATCCTGCTCCTGTAAGGTCAAGTATAATCTGTTTCCGCTCCTCTGCAGTCAACTGGTGAGCATCCGCTGACTAGGAAGAGAACATATTCATATCTTAAAATGCAGAGGTTTACTTAAACTCAAATAAACTTACAGCTCTTTACCTTAAGTAGAGACATAGACAAAAGTCTCAAGGGCAACAGATTCTTTTTTTTTTTTTTGAGACAGAGTCTCGCTCTGTCACCTGGGCTAGAGTGCCGTGGCATCAGCCTACCTCACAGCAGCCTCAAACTCCTGGGCTCAAGCAATCCTCCTGCCTCAGCCTCCCAGGTAGCTGAGATTACAGGTACACACCACCACACCTGGCTAATTTTTCTATTTTTAATAGAAAGAAGGTCTCGCTCTTGCTCTGGCTGGTCTCGAACTCCTGACCTCAAGGGATCCTCCGGCCTCAGCCTCCCAGAGTGCTAGAATTACAGGCGTGAGCCACCACACCAGGCCTCAGGGGCAACAAATTCTAACCATCTTTCATTCCTTTGTTCTCAAAAACAGACCAGAGCAAGGCCAGCTCTGTGTAAAATAAGCTGCCTCCATGGTATATGTTATCTCTGCCCTCCTTACTGCTACTACAAATTTCATGATTTAGCTTCTCCAGTTCATTCCAGATACAACTGAGACTGACCATTACCACTAGCCACCCTGGACACTCAGGAAACCGTGGGAAAAAACACTCACCCAAGGAAACCCTCCAAGTCCACTGGCAGGTCCAACCTTAGGACTCAGGGCTGCGAACTCCGGGTCCATCGCCCTGTGGACGGCCCGCACCACCTCAGCAGCCGTCACTGCTTACTCGCACGGGTTTTAACTGCGTGGGACCACCATCCCCTTGCACATCTGATGAAAACCAATCCCCAAAGGGAAAAAACAAGTGCACGTTTATGTTGTGTATAGGAACTGCTGGGAGTCCACGGATCTTCCGGACCACAGGTCGAAAGGCCTTATCTGAGTGGAGTGACTTTATGAGACACTTTTCTCAGAGCATCAGTAAGACAAACTCCCTCTGTGGTTTGGCCAGAGTACTGCCCAGTCCACGGCACTTGTGTGCACTATTCACCTTGCTTCTACTCACCCCGGTGATGACAGTCACAAACCCAGGTTCTGTCGGTTAAAAAGCCCATACTTCTGGTGCTATTTGTGGAGAAGAGATGAATACTCTACTAGAAGTCAGGAAAGCTGGGTTCTCATTTCAGGCAATACCTCCCGCCTTCCCTTACCTACCTGCAAGGCTACCGTACGCTCAGCGAGAGCGAGACAGTCACACAGAAAGACTGAGCGACCGTGAGAGCTCCTCAACAAAAGGCAACAGGGGCCGAGCTCCATTCCTGATTGTCCACCATTAAGCTGTAACTCCCTCTCACTTCAGAAATCCTAATGTCTTTTATTACTGACATTAATATAATTAAGAAGGCAAAAGTCTTTTACCTTTAGACAACTTGTTCCATGAAGATGCAAAGAATACTAATGAACCAATGTTCTAATTTTAGTTCCTTGTTAGATCAGCTACCCTTCCCCCGCCACTAACAAAAGGGAAAAATGAGACTATCTTTTAATTACACAAAAATATTTAAAACACTATCAAAAACCATTTACTATTAAAAACAAAAAGATCTATCCATTAGTTTTACAGAGACACTTCTGAAAATTGTACACAAAGATCTATTTTAAAAAAATCTAAAATTTTTATTAAACACTTAATTTTTCAACTCAGAGAATTTGGGAAAAGAAATGGAATTACGCGTGTCCACACTGAGTAGCTGCAAAGGAACTATTAAACGTGACATGGGTAAGGCGGCAGGCACCTGGAGTCTGTGGCACACGCTCTGAGCTGTTTTCCTCTGCGTCCTCAGCTATCCACATCCCCACGGAGATCAAGGCTGTGCTCTCCGGCTCAGGGCAGCGTCTGCCCATCAGCAGGGATCGTGGCCAAGACTGGGAAATGGAGCCACTTCATCTACCTAACACCAACGGCCCAGTGAGGACACACCCTCAAAAGAACACTCTGTGGTGGGCTTAAATTGTTTTCTTGGGGGAGTGTTAAAAAACCCTAGGATTTGGAGAGAGTAACCTGATGCAAGGCCTAGCTTCGCTCCTTTTAGCTGTGGGGTGCTGAACTTGGCGTCTCTGAATTCCAGTGTCCTCCCTCATGTCTGCACTGGGGATATTACAATATCCACCTGCCAAGATTTTTCTGGAAGGATTAAAGCGATCTCGACTGTGAAGGCACCCGGCATCGAGCCTGGCACGTAGCGGCCGCTCAGATCACGTCCGTCTATTCATCTCTTCCCAGAACACGATTTCACCTGATCACCGGCGCCCCGGACAGAGGTGCGCCCTGCGACACGCCCGGGTGACAGTGCGCACTTGGCCTGTGTTCTTACCTTCGTGAGAAGCAAAGCGCCTCTCCTCCTCCTCCTTGGAGCTATTTTAAATTTCTCCTGTTGAAGGGTTTCAAACAGCCCACCGGCTCTAACCAGCAACTTAAAATGAAGCGGTGAGTTTAATGCAACACTTTTCCACTAGGTGGTGCTGCATGTTAAAACTTTCCCTCAGTTTACTCCAAAATATTCGTTTCTAAAGCAGGAAAACTGACTGAACGCCCTTGGAAGAGGAAAGAAAAAATCACTGTCACCAAAAAAGATAATTTACTAATAATTCCTCCAAAAACTCTGAATTCACCATGGAGTGAAGCCGCTGACAGGGAGCCGCGAGACCGAGGAAGCCCCGCTCTCCGGGGCGGGCGATCTCCAGGACCCAACAGCACCTTCGGTCGTGAAGCTCCGAATAGTTTTCCAACTCTTTTTCATATCTGCTTTTTGTTGTTCAACGAAACTCGTTCTCGTTGGTTTCCGAATAGCAAGTTCGTGGGCTACGGCGGAATGTTTAAGCCAAGGGAAAGGGGGCACAAGCCGTGGATACCCTGGACTCCGACCGGCGCGTCTGGCAGGTGCCAGTCCCGCACGCGGTGACTCAACGCCGAGCCCGCAGGCCCGGCCCACTTTGGGGCTGCCCTGGTCCCTCCCGCCCGCCCCTCAGTCGGCGCCGCGGGGCCTCGCCCTCCTCCCGCACCCGCTCGGCACTCACCATGGCCGCGAGCCTCGGGCCCCGGTGCCGCAGCGCCGCCAACAAGCCCCGCGTCGTCCCCCGCGCCCAGAGCGCCGCCGCCATGGCCGCCGGCCGAGGGCTGCCCGGCGCACTGCCTGCGCGCCGCCCGCCCCCGCCCCGGCCCTGGCCCCGCTCGGCCCCGCTCGGCCCCACTCGGCCCCGCTCGGCCCCCGCCGCCCCTGCTGGGCCCGGTCGTCTCGCACAGCCGGCCCCGTTGCGTGGGCCCAGGCCCGAAGGCCTCGGGAGCTTCGGTGGCCGCCAATTCTACTGGCCGCCCGGCGGGCCCCGCAGCGGCGCCGCCCTCAGATCTGCCTCTGGGCTCTCTCCGCGTGTCCCAGACCCGGTGGCCGCTCGTCCCGTCTGTGCCCGGGAGGTAGGCCGGCCGGCGGGGCCCTGGGCTCGCGCTCCTGTCCCGCTCTTCGGGGCCCGGAACCCTGCCCGCGCCTCGGGCGTCGGCTCGCCTCACACCCGCGGACCGTCAGACCGTGTCGGGCTCCCTCCTGGGCGGCGGGCGCACAGCCGTGCGGGCGGGCGGGAGGGTGGGGGTCGCGAGCAGGGGCTAAGCCGCGGGGGCCTGGGGACCACCGCCATGGTCGTTAATCTGTACTCGCGGGGGACGATGAACCGTAGAGGTTAGCCTCGGGGGCTCGCTGAGTCAGGCAGCCGAGGGTTCGAACGTACGCTCGGCTCAGTCATTGCTTAGCTGCCCAGGCCTTAAGCCGCCGGTTCAGCCGTATTTGCGGAGATTTGAGTCTGGAAAACCTGGCTTGTCGTGCTGTTGCATGAGCATCCACACAGGCTCAGCACGCAGGGCACTCTGGAGATAGGTGTAAACAGATCTAGATAAATGTTTTCTGGTATCATTTCGGGGGAGGTATTCTTTCTTTTATATGTATGTGTGAGTATTTGTTAATTTTTTTTTTTTTTTTGCTTTTTTGCGATGTAACTGACATACCATAAAATTAACTCTTTAAAGCATACAGTGTTTTTTATTATTAATGTATTCACTCACTTGTATTTTTTTTTTACTAAATAGTTCGAGTAAATTAATGTAAGCAGTTTTGAAGAGGATATAGCAAAAGATTTTCAAAGAGTGAGAATTCATTTAAGTTCAACCTAGCAGTTGTTAGCAGTTCATCCACTTGGACTTAGAAAAAAATAAAGCTTTTGCCTCAAAATGGCCTAACATTTATGGACTTTTGGCCTGACCTACCTTCTTCCTGTTTGCCCACTTGACAAGACGTAACTGTTTCAAAACCAAAACTCAGGGAAGAGTCACTGTGGGGGCCCTGATCAAATGTCAGTGGCCTCAAGGCATTTATATGACACTCTGGTTTCTTTTGTCTGGTATGGAAGGGAGACAGATACTACGTGTGGAATTAAAGCTCGTATTTCCAACATTGACATTGGGGGTTTATGATCACAAAAAAAAAATACTCATTTGCTCATTCAAGTGAGACCTGAAAAATGAACTGGTGGTGTTAGTGACCATTCACTTTCAGTACATTTACTTTCAGCATTCTCCTTCCTGAACACCACTGTATGAGACTGGGGCATCTCAGGTCTAGTCGTGAAAGCAACGAAAGGAGGATGCTAGCGCCCAGGGAAGTGATATCCACCGATAGCATCTGTGAATGCTCTGCCCTCACCTGTAGCTCCCCAATTAATAGGATTTAAGTCCCTTAACAAAAATTTACTGGCCACATCCTCTGTGATAGATACCATGCTTGACTTGGGATGGTTTAGCTGGTCTTGGACCACTTCCTGCCCCCTTCCACTTCCCTTTCCCTTTCCCTTAAAACTACTGTTTCCTGGCTGATCCAGGAAATATTTTAAGAAAATACAAATATAAGAAACCTTCATGTGAAGGTTTAAATCCCAGCTTCATCAATTTACCATCTGTGTAACCTGGGCAAGTTATTTAACCTCTCTCTGCCTAAGTCTGCTCATTTGTAAAATGGAAATAATAATGGCACCATTCTGAGTCACAGTCCCCTCCTGCTAGTGACCACCCAGCCATAGCTGTTCTCAATGTGACACATGAAGTTGTAAATTCCCATTCAGTATAACACTCTGAGAAGGAGACTCATCTAAGGTTCTATTTCTATAGAATTTAGGGTGTTTTATGAAATAAACACTTTATCTAAAACACTGGGAACAATTGGTATAAAAGTAATTTATCATTAAGTAAAAAAATCAACTCTCTTAAATCTAAATTTAAAGGGATCTTTTAGAAAGAGCTTTTCAATGTTGTTTCTTTACTAAATGTGTCCTGAACTAGACTGGCATCGACCCGTGGGCAAGAACAGTGTTTTATACTTCTTTTGGATCTCACTAAACCAAGCACAGTGCTAGGAACATTTTAAGGTTCAATTAATGCATGCTGGTTAGGTAACTATGACTAAAACTTACACTTTACCACAGAACTGACAATATTATTAAATGAGCATTTACTTTTTCCTAACATCTGTCTTACCCAGAAACAACTTAAACTACTTCACATTCTTTCAGTGAAAGTAGAGATCACAAATGTCAAGGTATTTGACTCTTTTATTTTACATCAGTTGCTACTTGGAGGGTCACACTAATCAACTCTAGTTACTCTTTCCCTAACAACACTTTCTGCTATGGACTCTGGAAGAGAAATTGCAAACAAAAAAATCAACCTTCTTAAACATATATAAGGAATCAAGAGTTTTCTAAAACTATAACCCCAAAAGTCCTATTTTTGCCGCCTTCTTAGTAAGCATGTTGTCATTAACTCACTATTCCACTCATCCAAGTGAATGTCTTCACTTTCAAACTGGATTACTCTTCACATACCGGATAACATTCAAGTAGTAAAAATAAGAACAGGGCATTCTAGTGAATATTTTTTTCCATTGCTTATTGCAATTCTAGTTAAAATACCAGTTTAGAATTTTTTGACACATTCAATAACAGATCAACAAATGCATGATTTTTTTAATCTAAGTGAAGCTGCAAGTCAATACTTCACTAGAGAAAATTAAGCTGTAGCACTAATTTCTGAAATGAAGGATAGAAATTCCTCTTTCCAACTTTTCCGTAAAGTCCATCATTATTCCACATGTTCCTGCTCTTGTCCTGGAATTAGCCACCGAATACTCTCTGTTCGAATGGTAGCATACATAATGAAACTAATTAAAAAGAATAAGGAAAATACAAGCAACCAGTCCACACTTTTTATCAATGTGCTGGGAAGAGGGCCTATTTGGTCCGCTTGAGTTACCATCACATTTTTCTTGGCTTCTATACCTGAAAGAGAAATCAATTGTTTCAAATCAGACAGAAAAAGCACCCGCCATGGATTTTTCTTAAGTATTATACATGGTATGCAACATGACATGAAGTCCTAAAATAAACACCACTGCTAGGGTATCTGGGATGGATTTCACTTGCCTGTCAGTGTAATTTGTAACTTGCCTTGCCCCACACCACATCAAAGCATCAGGAATCCATTCAGCTGTTCAAAGCCAAAGCACTAGAATTCTGTGAACTCATCAGAGGTTTCTTAGTCAGTGTATTCTAAGAGATGTCTTTTGTTCTCTTTTGAGACTAAAGTTCGATAAGTAACTAGTAAAGCTTCTCTCCAGAGTCTCCAGAATGTTTTCAAAGGTAAAGTAATACTAAATTCAAAATGCTTTTTAAATAATTTACTCAGAGAATTGTTAGAACAACTAGCCACCAATTGGATCAGTGATTTCCAAAGATGCCTTGACGTAGATTTCACTTGTGTTCGAGGTTTTCTTAAAGCATTGAATAAAGTGGCTTCCTCTCCCCACAGCAATCTAAGTGAATACCAGGGATCCAGTGTCAGACTTGGAATAGGGCCACTGTGTGGCTCACGCGTGTCATCCCAGCACTTTGGGAGGCCAAGGCAGAAGGATCGCTGGCTAGGAGTTGGAGAACAGCCTGGGCACATAGTGAGACTTCTCTACAAAAAATAAGAAAAATTAGCTGGTGTGGTGGCACAGGCCTGTAGTCCCAGCTACCTGTGAGGCTGAGGCAGAAGGATCGCTTGAGCCCAGGAGTTCAAGGCTGTAGTGAGCTATGATGGCAGCACTGCACTCCAGCCTGGGTGATAGAACAAGCCCCTATCTCTAAGGAAAAAAAAAAAAGGCTGGGTACAGTAGCTAACCACCTTGCAATATCCCACTTTTATTCCTGTGACCTAACTCAGCTCTTTTTCTCTTTAATACCAGATAAAAGTGATTACATGCAACTAAATATATATGGACTGTGTGTTATAATTTGATTTATTTCCAGTAAATGTACTTTAGGAAGAGTAGGATGTTCAAAATTGAGGCATTAAGGTTTTTGAGGAAGCTGGGCACAGTGGCTCACACCTGTAATCCTAGTACTCTGGGAGGCCGAGGCGGGAGGATCACTTGAGCTCAGGAATTTGAGGTTGCTGTGAGCTAGGCACTCTACCCAGGGTGACAGAGCAAGACTCTGTCTAAATAAATAAATAAATAAATAAAGTTTTTGAGGAATGAACTTTTCCAATGGAGAAAATGTCTTCAATTTACAATGCTCAAAGTTTTACAGATTAAAAAATAAGGCCATATGTTTTGGCAAATATTAAGAAATTAAAATAGCATCTGCAAATGGATTAATAAATGGAACATTAGCAATAAAACTGAACAAAACAACCATACACGACAATGCAGATGCATCTCACAAGGATAATATTGGATGGAAAATGCCATACACAAAAGAATACCTACTAATACTATATGTCTCCATTAATATAAAATTCAGAACAGATAACACAAGTCTATGCTATTAGGAGTCAAGATTGTGGCTACCTTTGGGGAGGGCAGGCGCGGTAGTGCTGAAGGGGAACTGGTATGTTCTGTTTCTTCATCTGAGTACTGGCTACCCAGGGGGTCCACTTTGTGAAAATTCATCACTCTAATGATTTATGCATATTTTTATGTAAATATTAGACTTAAGTGAAAAATATATATTAATAAAAAGATATCTACAAATGAAATATACAGTATGCAAATTATATTTCAATAAAATTTTTTTTAAAAAGGTATCTACAACATTACAATTACCTATTAATGTTAAGCTTGACACTGGGATTTATTTAACAGGATCATAACAGTTCATAACAAAAGAAGTTTTATATCTCAAAGTCCTTCACTTAGGATAAGGATTATAGCAGATCAGAACCCACAAAAGGCATATACCCTCAGCATATTATTATTTCTACATACCTGTCTGATTAAAAATGAAGATTTTCAGGGTTTCCAATGTTCGATCTGTATGGTTAAATCTAGCCATTGGTTTAGCTCCTTGAAATAACAAAATGTTAGGAACAGCCACGGTGCCAAACCTGGTGGAAAGGCTACAAATAGAAAGAAGTCAGTCAGTAAACCTGAATTTAATACCAGTGGGCTTTCTCACACAATTACCATATCAGAATGGATGGAAATACATAAATGAGAAAAGATTGGTTCCCCAAGGAAGGATGTTTCTGATACTCAAACTTTAGGCTTTTTAGTTTGTTTCTGCCATCTTTCTTTATGGGTCACGGTTGGGGGCATTCCCGTTCTGCAATCTGAGTTGCTTTCTATGATAGTATGGATGTACCCGGAACAATTGTTCCACCATTTAAGTTCCTGTCAAAATACGTCATACCAGCAAATTCTAATTCATGGACAAAGCATACAACGTCAGTTTACTTGACAGAAAAAATTTCCAGCTCTTCAGAATACCCATCCCCATCCCTCAGAAAAGATCAACTTATGGTATGCGCTTAGTTTGGTGAATTGGCACACGGGAATACATGATGTAACAAGCACACCAGGAAGTTCACGATTGGGGCAGGTGACTTGGAAGTAATATGACCTGTGTAGGCTTGTTGCCCCTTTACATAATAGGTATCAGAGGTGAAACACTGGCTTCAAGCCTCAGTTCTGCCCCTGAACCAGCTGTGTGACCTCTGGGCAGATGAGTTAACCTCCCTAAGCCTCAGTTTCCCCCATTAATAAAACAGTAATATTGGATGATGAGGATTTTTTTTTTGTAAACATGTATAACTTAAATATTAACATATGAGGCAAACATGTCCAGCTCGTATAATGAAAACAAGTGTCCCAGTCTCCATAATTAAGGGAACATACCAGGTAATACAAGGAAATGAAGGAAAGAAAGAATAAATCAGATGGGGGGCTATGGGAGAGACAGTGGGGAGAGACATATGAGACCCAAAGCCAAAGAGTGCTCAGTATGCGTGGGGACAGTGGGGGGCCCAGCCACACTTAGACATTGACCTGAACTGTGCTTCCAATCAGTCTGTTCCCTTGGGCCCGGCCACTTAGATATGTCCCCAAAGCCCATATGAGAATTATTAATTTGTTGGGCAATTTCTTTCTTCATAAACAGTTTCAGGTAAACACTGGCAGTTATATTCCCACACTGAAAAAATCAGTGGAATGCAAATTAATGGTTTTACTCAACTTCATTTTACCACCAATTTGGCCATTTTCCAGACATTCTAGATTTACTCACACACAACCTCCTTGTGACCTGCTAAGGAGAATTTAGAAGAGGAGGGGACCACAGTCTATAACCCGGGCACAGTCATGGCACTCAGGGGCAATATCTAATATCTGAACCAAGTGCTCTGTAACTCACTTTACTGAACATTTAAAAAAGACAAAAGCCCAGTGAACAATATAAAAGAAATGTAAAACAAGAATATGGGTAAATGTCATTGTAAAGAGCTAAATTAATCCATTACTTTATTGAGTGTCTACTATGGAACATGCATGCAAGAATAAACGTAAGCAAGAGGAAAGAAAGAAGGAAAGGAGGGAAAGGAAAAGAAGGAAAGAGAAAGAAAATAAAAGAAGGAAAGAAAGAAATCCTGAGTAGACACAGAACAGGGGTGGGACCTAAAATGCAGGTTAAAGTCACAAAGGAATATCCTACTGTGATACCAATTGCTAATTCCGTCTGGCCAGGACCCTAAAAAGTCCCCTGGCCCCTCCCCTGCCATCAGGTACCATCACCTGTCACCTTTAAATCTGCTACACAGAGAACAGGCCTCTTTCTTTAACGGGCCTCCGGAAAGTGACACCACCAGCTCCCTCAGGAGTTTGACAACCCTGACTCCTCACTCTTGCTGTTCCCGTCCTTCAGTCTGGTTGCAAAGTTCATGTCACCTCCTCCGCTTCTAACTTCACTAATTACAACCTCCAAATAACTGCAACTGTCAGCCAAAAGGCTGAGCATAAACCCCACCGAGCAAAGATACCTGCTGTGCTGAGACGCGTCCAGAGCCAAAAAATGAAGAGTTGGAAATGCCCGGGGCAGAGAATTAAAATGAGGGGCCAAACTGGCAGAGAATCGGCACCACGGGGTGTAAAACAGCACTAGAGTGCAGTCGCTGCCGTTCGGGTTTAGAAAGTCCATGAGGTCCTGCGGTAGGAGAAACAAGTGTTAAAGTTAGCAGTGAATATATGTGTACGTTCTTCTGAAAGGATACCCAAGAAACGGGACATGCAGCAATGGCGGGTGGGGCAGGGAGAGGAAGGAGACTGCATTGTACATCTCCAAGAAGCATTTAGATGTTGAACCACATGAGTCCATGAATCAGCAGAAAAGTAGTATCAAATGATGAGTTATACATTTTCCTAATATTACTACAGAACTGTGCTAATACTTTTCATAATTGATCAATTCAAATACAGGCAGAGCTTGTTGTATTGCACTTCGATCTCCTGTGCTTCGTGGATGTTGCCTCTTTCACCAATGTAAGAGGAGGGGCAACCCGGCATCAGTCAAATCTATCGGTGCCATTTTTCCCAACATGTGCTCACGTCATGTCTCTGTGTCACGTTTGGGTAATTCTCACAAGAGTTCCAACTTTTTCATTATTATTATATCTGTCGTGGTGATCTGGGATCAGTGATCTTTGATGTTACTACTGTAATTGTTTTGGGGTGCCACAAACCGTGCCCACATACGATGGCAACTTAGTGGATAGATAAATGTGTGTGTTCTGACTGCTCCACTGACCGCCTTTCCCCTGTGTCTCTCCCTCTCCTCACACTCCTCTGTTCCCTGAGATACCACAATATTGAAATTAGACCAATTAACAGCTCTACAATGGGCTCTAACTGTTCAAATGAAAGGAAGAGTCACACATTTCTCACTTTAAATCAAAAGCTAGAAATGATTAAGCTCAGCGAGAAAGACAAGTTGAAAGCTGAGACAGGCCAAAAGCTGGGCCTCTTGTGCCAGTCAGCCAAGTTGTGAATGCAAAGGAAAAGTTCTTGAAGGAAATTAGAAGTGCCACTCCAAGGAATGCACAAATGATAAGAAAGCAAAACAGCCTTATTGCTGATATGGAGGAAGTCTGAGTACTCTGGATAGAAGATCAAACCAGCTACAACGTTCCCTTAAGCCAAAGCCTAATCCAGAGCAAGGCCCTGATTCTCTTCAATTCTATGAAGGCTGAGACAGGTGAGGAAGATGCAGAAGAAAAGTTGGAAGCTGGCAGAAGTTGGTTCATGAGGGTTAAGGAAAGACACCATCTCCATAACATAAAAGTACAAAGTGAAGCAGCAAGTGTTGATGGAGAAGCTACAGCAAGTTATCCAGAAGATCTAGCTAAGATAGTGAATGGATCAACGTAGCTACACTAAAAAACAGGTTTTCAATGTAGACGAAACAGCCTTGTATTGGAAGATGCCACTAGGACTTTCGTGGCTACAGAAGAGAAGTCAATGCCTGGCTTCCAAGCTTCAAAGGACAGGCTGACTTTCTTCTCAGGGACTAATGTAGCCCCTGAGACTTTTTAAGTGCCTTACCATTCCAAAAATCCTAGGGCCCTTAAGAATTATGCTAAATCTATTCTGCCTGTGCTCTAGAAGTGGAACAACAAAGCCTAGATGACAGCACATTTATTTGCAGTATGGTTTACTGAATATTTTAAGCCCACTGTTGAGACCTATTGCTCAGAAAAAAAAAGATTCCTTTCAAAATGTTACTGTTCATGGACAATGCACCTGGTCACCCAAGAGCTCTGATGGAGATGTGCAAGATTAATGTTGTTTTCAGGCCTGCTAATACAACATCTGCAGCCTGCGGATCAAAGAGACTTTTTGACTTTCAAGTCTTATTACTTAAGAAATACATTTCATAAGGCTATGGCTGCCACAGATAGTGATTCCTGTGATGGATCTGGGCAAAGTAAATTGAAAACCTTCTTGAAAGGATTCACCATTCTAGATATCATTAAGAATATGTGTGATTCACGGGAGGAGATTAAAATATTAACATAAATAGGAGTTCAGAAGAAGTTGATTCCAACCATCATGGATGCACTGGAGGGTCCAAGACTTCAGTGGAGGAAGTCACTGCAGATGTGGCAGAAATAAGGAGAGAACTAGAATTATATGTGGAGCTGAAGATGTGCTGAAGTGCTACAATCTCATGATAAACCTTGAAAGGATGAGGAGCTGCTTCTTATGGATGAACCAAAAAAGAGGGTTTCCTGAGATAGAATCTACTCCTGGCGAAGATGCTGTGAACACAGTCAAAATGTCAACAAAGGATTTATAATATTCCATAAATGTAGCTGATATAGCAGCAATAGGGTTTAAGAATATGGACTCCAACTTTGAAAGAAATTCTGCTGTGGTAAAATACTATCAAACAGCGTCACATGCTACAGAGAAACCTTTCTCTGTGGCGAACTTCACTGCTGTCTTATTTTAGGAAATTGCCACAGCCACCCCAGCCTTCAACAACCACCACCCTGACCCGTGAGCAGCCAGCAACATCGAGGCAAGATCCTCTATCAGCAAAAAATTATGACTCACCGAAGGCTGAGATGATCAGTAGCATTTTTTTTTTTTTTTGAGACAGAGTCTCACTGTGTTGCCCGGGCTAGAGTGCCGTGGCGTCAGCCTAGCTCACAGCAACCTCAGCCCCAAACTATCATCTCAGCAGAGCTAAGTCTGAACTAAACAGTCAGATTGACATATTTGGCCAAAGGTTAGTTCAACGATGCACAGTGTCGACCAGGCGCTCAGGCAGGATGTGAGGCCAGCACTGGCCCTGCCCTCGGAGGAGCTACGTGCACTAAACGTACTGTACCCTCATTGACAACAGGCAGTCACTGCTCTCAGAGCTGGGACTTCCTTCTCTTCTACAAGCCTGAATTCATCCTGCTCCTCCGTTTTCTTAACCATCCTGAAGAAACTGAAAGTCATTAGTTCAGTATTCCCTCTGAAGTTATCATTTATCCAACTATCTAGAAAAGCATGGCTGAGTTTGGGACAATCGTCTCAGCTCTCACTTTAGAATAACCAGTGGATTCACATGCTTTAGAAGAAAGAGAAATTTTTCACCAATATAACATTTTCCAGGGGCGTTACTAGTCTAAATAATGCTAAATTATAATTTTAGTGATCCAGATATTTTTAGGTTGTCCCTGTAATAAATAATTCATTTGGAAAAAGAAGGGCTGGGCACGGTGGCTCACGCCTGTAATCCTAGCGCTTTGGGAGGCCGAGGCGGGTGGAGCGTTTGAGCTCAGGAGTTCGAGACCAGCCTGAGCTAGAGCAAGACCCCGTCTCCACTGAAAAAAATAAATAAATAAATAGAAAGAAAGAGAAATTCGGAAAAAGAAAAATGCTATGATTCTGATGCCAAGCACCTGTCTGTCCTCTGGAACTTCCATCATGAGGCTTGGTGGTGAGAGTACCTCATGGACAACTAGGGTTTGTGCCACCTAAGAAGAATAATCGACACCGATTTTCCTCCTTTTCCCTACAAACATCATAAAAAGAAAAGTCAATTTTCGCTGAAGCAGCCATTAAGTGCTATCCCGCTTACAATGGGATAAAGATTATGACCTTCCATTTCAAAGTCGGTGAGAGTTTCGCTTTTGTTCTTTGAGACAGGGTCCCGCTCTGTCGCCTGGCCAAAGTGCAGTGGTGTCATCGTAGGTCGTTGCAACCTCAAACTCCTGAGGAGCAGGTGTGTGCCACCATGCCTGGCTGCAAAGCTGATGGAGTTTTAAATCATAACATTAACGTGCTAAAAATAAGGAAAAGCACTGAGTAATTTTTTCTTACCTGTGACATATTTAAAATTTTCAGAGTAGAATTTTCTAATCCCGTCACGTTTCTCTCCTCACAGTTCACCTTCGGGGACTTCAGACTCTCGGTGCTGTTGGCGTCGTCCGCCGGGGCCGGGTCGGAGTCGGCCGCCTCGGGCTCGGGGTAATACTCCTCCTCTCGGTCGGGGAAGGTCGCCCCGGCACCGTGCAGGGAGAAGAGGCTCTCTCGGAGGTGGCACCTCGAGTCCTCCTCTCCTCCAGCGTCGCAAGTGTCGCCGCTGGGCTCTGGGCTCGGCTTGTCCTCGGCCTCCCCCGGAATCACAGACAGCATCACCACGTGATCGCCGGCCGCGTCCGCCCCCAGCGCCGCGTCCGCCTCTCCCGCCGCCGCGGCCGCGCCCCTCGGGTCGCGCGGGGGCTGCTGGGCGCTCAGGTACACGGCCCCCACCGGCAGGGGGCGCGCGGGCTGCTCCTCGGACCGCAAGCGGTCACCTTCCCCTGCAGCGGCAACACCCGGCACGTTCGCTCACGCTGGACTTCGACATAAATGCACCCCCAGCTTGAGAGAGAGTTACGGCTCTCCTCAGATACGAAATTTTCCTCTCTGGAGAAACGGTTATCCTTCCCATGAAGCTATCAGAGAGCCACCCACCATCCTCCAGGTTAGAAGAAGGGTTACGGGGGTACTAGATCAATGAATGCCAAATAAATAAATGGACAAATAGTTACGTAGCTTCGCCCGACACCTGCTGCTTGCCATGTGGATTATAACCAGAAACATTCCAGGGTGCACACTGGATAATATAATCACTTCAACACCGTCGTTTGTTTGATAAGAATGCCAAAGAAAATAATAATGGTTTTATGCAAGATCCCACTAAGGCGGATCTTCTTTGCACACATTGTAAGAGCTCTGTGAGATGGGCAAGACGAGGGTGGTCAAGCCCACTTAACAGATGACCACGCTGAGACACAGAGAGGCTCACCGAGGTGCCCAGTGGCACACAGCAAGCAGCAGAGCCAGGCCTAGGAGCAAAGTCTCTGCTCCTCCATAGCGGGCCTTCCCCTCCCTGCCACGACACCTCGGGACATGCTGAGCTGCACGCCCGAGAACACTGCCTGGCCACGCAGCAGCTCCTTCCCGAGGTAGCCTCTGACAGCTGGATGCTGTCCTCCTTCTGCCACCCGTGGGCTGCTGCCCTCGGGAGTGTCAGCGAATGGGCTGAGCAGTGTAGGAGCAGCGGCAGGAGGAAGAAGAGGAGGACTTTCCTCCCACTTTGGAGCCGGAAGGTGGGTCTTGGGCAAAATGCTCAGATAAGGGCAGAGCCCCGGACAGTCCCATATGCCCATTTATTGCTAAATCTCCTTCCACCTCTGTGGCAATGACTCCTGCCCTCCAACCCTTATCACCTCAACACCAGCTGCCAGACTCTGCGCCAGGTGCTGACCAGGGAAAAGGAACAAGGCTAGCTGCCCTCAGGAACGCCCGCGCGGTTAAGGAGCCAACTGTGTGATGAGCTCTTCACTCCAGCAGCCTGTCACTGGGGAGTAAATGACCAACTGGCTTCAAAGTTGGGAAGAGGTTTGGAAGCCTCCTAAGGTATGCACATTTGTAGAAAGTCTCAAAGAATAAACCCACAGAGCTTTTCAGATTCATTCAGCAATTCGAAAACATTCTCTGGGCATTCTGCTTCTGGCCAAGAGGAAGTAACAGGGACCAGATTTACCTCCCCTACTGAAACAACAACAAAAACCAGACAAAATATATGGAACAACAGTTTCAGGAAACTAGATATTAGGCAGCGAAGGACAGTGGTCCCTGAGAAACAGGAAACAAATGAAGAGAGCCCTACAGCTGCTCCAGCTCGCCACCTGGAGGGAGCTCACACGGCCTCAGGGAGGGAACCCAAGGGGCAGCAGACTCTCCGAGTTGAGGAGATGGAGCTAAGAGTCCGAGGAGACCAAGACAGCTATGGATTGTGGGACAGAATACTGGAGAGGAGAGAGCTGCAGAGGGAGAGGACTCCGGGGGTCCGCAGAGCCCCCCCACCCCACAAGCACACAGCAGCATACTGGCCAGCACGTGCATGTGCGGAACCCACCCCAAGCCGGGGAAAGAACTACCGGAAACGATCAGAGGGAACAACACCCACCACTTGCCCAGAGCAGGGAAAAGTACCTGTTCCTGCTAGACTGGGAAACTTCATAATTCACAAAACACTGAGCAGAGTACGGAAAAGGATCTGCCTCAGTAGTGGGCACAATTAACCCTGGAATAAATACAGCTCTGCTCGCATCTAACAAACCTTAAACACAAAACCTGAAAGGATCAAACCACTTTCAATAACTTAACTATACCCAAAAAGTTTAAGGATATTTATAGGAATACTAAAATATCTGGCACTCAACAAGGTAAAACTCATGTCTGGCATCCAGTCAAAAATGACTAGACGTAGGCAGGGCACGGTGGCTCACGCCTGTAATCCTAACACTCTGGGAGGCCGAGGCGGGCAGATTGTTTGAGCTCAGGAGTTCCAGACCAGCCTGAGCAAGAGTGAGACCCCATCTCTACTAAAAAAAAAAAAATTGAAAGAAATTATCTGGACAACTAAAAATATATAGAAAAAATTAGTCAGGCATGGTGGCACATGCCTGTAGTCCCAGCTACTCGGGAGGCTGAGGCAGGAGGATTGCTTGATCCCAGGAGTTTGAGGTTGTTGTGAGCTAGGCTAATGCCACGGCACTCACTCTAGCCAGGACAACAGAGCGAGACTCTGTCTTAAAAAAAAAAAAAAATGACTAGATGGGCAAAGAAGCAGGAAACTATGATCCACAGTAAGTAGAATAATCAATCAGTCAACACTGACCCAGAACTTGCACAGACGTCAGAGTTAGCAGACAAGGATGTTAAGACAGTAGTTATAACCATACTATATATATTCAAAAAGTTAAGTAGATATAGCGATATAAGATGTAAAAAAAGTTCAAATCCTTTAAAGATGAAAACTTCGAAAACTACACTAAGAAGAACACTGCACTAGATGAGATTAATGGTAGATTAGACGTTGCAGAAGAAAAGAGTAGTGAACTAGAAGGCAGAGCAATAGAAACTATCCAAAATGAAATACACAGTACTAGGTGTGGTGACTCACACCTGTATCCCAGCACTTTGGGAGGCTGAGGCAGGAGGATGGCTTGAGGCCAAGTTCAAGACCAGCCTGAGCAACACAGTGAGACCCCATCTCTAAAAACAAAAAAGAAAAAATAAAGAAAGAAACACAGAGAAAAAAAGAATCCGGAAAAAAAGCATCAGTGAGCTGTGAAATTTCAAGTGGTCTGATGTATAGGTAACTGCACTACTGGAAAGAGAAAAGAGAGTGAGGGGGACAGAAAAATATTTGAAGAAATAATAACCAAAAACTTTCCAAACTTGATGAAAACTATAAATTCATAGCTCCAAGAAGCTCAACAAACCCCAAGCTGAACAAACTACACCAAGGCACATAATAATCAAATTGCTCAAAACCAGTGACAAAGAGAAAAATCTTGAAAGCAGCCAGAGAAAAAAAGACTTGTTACGTACAGAGGAAAAAAGATAAGGATGACAGCAGATTTCTCGTTGGAAACAATGCAAGCAAGAGCAGCATCTTTAAAGTACCTAAATAAAAAAAACCTATAAATCTAGAATTCTATACCCAGTAAAAATATCTTTTAAAAACAAAAGTGAAATAAACACTTCATACACACAAAAACTGAAAGAATTCATTACCAGCAGAGCCACACAACAAAAACCTTCAAGGAACTCTTTCACTCAGAAGAAAATATGACACCAGATCAAAACATGGATCTACATAAAGGAATATATGGTAACTATATGGATAAATATACATGATTCTTTCCAAAAATCCAGCTATAGAGCAGACAAGGAAGATAGGTTAGTTTTGTCACAGGCAGACAAGGGGCTAAGGGAGGTTTCTATTTTGGTTGTAGGACATTGGAGCAATGTGAACATCTATAAAGTTGATGGAAAAACAGGTAAGGAGGGAGAAGGGACAGGTAGGGCTAGACAGGGCAGAGTGTGGGGCTTGGGCAGCAAGGTGAGTCTTTGGCAGAAAGTCAAACACTTCTGTGACTACAACACAGACAAAGGGCTGGGTGCCTCGGCGGGGAGCTTTGCCAATTTGGTGGGGGCGGGATCGAATCTGTGGTCTTTGTATAAATTTTGGCCAGTGAGTTTCCTCTGTCCACACCCAATGATGACCAATGACCCACCCCATGGCTGACGTTATCCTCAGGATGGGCATGCATGCGACCCTGACTGCAAGATGGGCTCATGCGACCCTGACTGCAAGGTGGGCTCACACTGGACGACTAAGTCCTCTGAATCAGCCAGGGTTCTGCCAAGAAGCAGCGCATTTAACTTGGGCAATTTCAGGAGAGTTTAATAAAGGGACCACCAACGTGTGGGCTGGGCGTAGAGAAACTAAGAGCAATGGAAAGGCACTCCAAGGCCAGCAATAAAAGAGGGGGAGCCGGTTACCACTCACAGACCTTAAGGGTCCACAGAACCTTGAAACACAAGAGCAACAAAGAGGTAGGTTTTTAGAAGTCATCGCCTTTCACTAGAGGGACACAGCCAGCCTGTATTATATCCTGACCTCACTCTCCCCTCACTCCAACCAAAAGGAAGCCAGAAGACAGGACAGCTGGTATGTACTCCGCACAGGGCGCAGAACAGGGTGGAGAACCTGGGGAGTGGCATCCAGCACATGCCATCGTCCCTGTGAGGCTGGTGAAGCGCAGTGAGAATACAGAGGTTTGGCTGGGAAGTCAAGCAGAATGCTTGAATCATGGCGCCTAGACTTCCAGCTGTATGACCTTGGCAAAGGCCTTACTGGCTCTGAGTCTCAGTTTACTCATCTATAAAACAGGAACAGCTTTCGGAGGCCAAGGCAGAGGATCACTGGAGGCCAGGAGTTCGATACCTGCTTGGGCAACATAGCAAGACCTCATCTCTACAAAAAACTCAGCCAGGTGTGGCGCCAGGCACCTGTAGTCCCAGCCACTCAGGAGGCTGAGGCAGGAGGATTGGTTGAGCAGAGGAGTTCAAGGCCCCGGTGCGCTGTGATCCTGCTCTGCCACTGCACTCCAGCCTGGGTGACAGAGTAAGACCCTGGGGAGGGGGGAGCAGAGAGGGGAACAATAGCATCTCCTGAATAAGCATTTACATTAAATAAAATGATGCTCCTAAAGCACTAAGCACAGTGCCTGGCAGCGAGTGCTTTCATTGTGCTACTTTAATTGTGCTACCATTCCTCTCCTTGCTCAGCAACAGTCTATTGCCCTGCCTCCTCCAAGACACCCCAGGGAAAGGAAAGACCTGCCTATTCCTGCCAAGGTCCCAGTGACAAGCAAGGCCAAAGAGCGTGGACTGTAGCAGGACCGTGAGGAGTGGGGTGAAGGAGCCATGAGAATAAGGCCTCCACGCCCCGGCCCAGCCATGCCTCCAGGGCAACAGCTTCCCCACTTGAAGGGGTCCCGGAGAACATGCCCTGGCAAGCTGGGGACCCCGGAAGTCTCCTGTGTTCTCCTGTATGGCCTTCACACAGGCACTGAGCAAGGGTGGCCTCCTTAGGAAAGTGGTCCAGCAGGGTGGGCTCCGGCGAGGGCTTCGGTTAGAGAGCCCAGCTCTGCCACCCACCAGAAGCGCAAACTCAGGCAGATCGCTCGGCCTCCCTGAGCCTCAGCACCTTCCTTTGAGAAACTGGAACACTAATGGGAACCGATCTCACAGGGCTGGTGGGGATTAAACGCGATAATGAGGCAAAGCACTGTGCACAGTTCCTGGCTCCTAATAAGGCCACAGTAAATGTCGGCTATTTGTTATGGTTATTACTAATAATAACGTGCTCGTCACGAGAGGGCATGCCTCAGCAGGGCTTACCAAGGTCCCTGCTGCTAACGGATGCGGCCGAAGGAGGCCTGAGCGAGGCCGCCGGGCCATGCCCCTCTAGCCGGCCCCGCGCCGGCGGCGCACCTGGGGAAGGGGTCGGGCACAGGCGCCGGGAGCGCGCCATGAAGGGGCGAGGCGCGCATCGCCGGCCTTCGCGCCCGCCAAGAGCGTGACCCAGACGGACCCCCCACTTTGCCCGGTCATCTCACACCCCGCCGCTTGCCGCCCCCGGCCCCGGCCCGGCCCGCACTCACCCTCCGCGCCGCGGGCGAGAAGCCCCAGCGCCCACGGCAGTACCTGCCACCAACCGAGAAGCCGCATGGCGCGGGGCGGCCGGCGGGTGGCGGCCGGGACCTCCACTCAGGCGGACGGACAACGGGCGCACGGCGAGGAGCGTCGCGCTCCCAACCGCAGGAAGGCCGGGCGAGGAGAGGCCGGGCGCGCGGGCGCGGGCCCGCGCCGCCATCTTGGCCCCTGGCAGCCGCCGCGGGCGCCATTTTGGAGTCGGGCGGACGGCCTCTGGCCTGTGGCCTGCGCCGCCAGCCTCGAGACCCCTCTAGAAGACAAGCATCAGGCGTTCCAAGTCGTTTCGAACGCTCCTGACCCTAACTCAAGTCCAGGGCGGTGCTGCGCAGAGGCCCGTGGCCTCCTTTCTTCCCGCACAAGTCAGGGCCCTGCTGCTTGGAGCACAGCGCCCACCGGGGAGGGTTTCCATGCTTCACTCCCACAGCCAAAAGGCCCAGAAGCCTTCTTCACGTGCCCCATCGAGGTGCAGAACCTCGGAGGCTGTAAATGTTAGAGTCCCTTCCGTTTCCCACGCTGCCTTACCTGGAGTTGCCAGATAGAATACCAGATACGCACGTAAATTTGAATTTCACATAAACAATGAATAATTTTTACCATAAGGGACATGCCTTATAACTGAGCATCCTATAGTTTTATTTGCTGTATCTGGCAGCCCTAACGCTACCTATCTACTCAGGGGAAGAGATGTTGGTTGGTTGGTTGGTTGGTTGGTTTCAACTAATTCACCTACAAGGCATTCTTCCTCCTTAAACCACCCACCCAGGGCAGGGGCCATAAGCTGCATGTATCTAAACTTCAGTTAGATAAACTTAAAAATGTACATTATTTTGTAAAAATCAATTACTATGTACTTAATAATTTCAGAAAACGAAAACTATTTGTTAATTTTAAAGTTAACCTTTTAATGACTTTGTTGTGTCTGCTTGTAGTTGGAAAGCATCTGAATATTTGGTTGCAGCATGGAGGTCCCCAGTTTCAGCTGATCTTCTAGATGGGTGTCAGTCCTTTGTGATCTTGAGGGCATCTTGATTTGGGCTAGGTACGAGAACGTAGATTCACAACAGCAAGTGGCTGAAAAGCAAGAAAGCCTTTTTCGGGCATGTTGCCGAAGGCGTGGCTCTTCCGCATCTTTCCATATTTCAATTGGCTCTTTCTTAGCATCAAAGACTTTAAGATGTCATCTACTGAGAGCTCAATCAGTTCCATCTGTAGTTCTTTAGGTGCCTTGGTGATACCAACTAGGTGAGGCCGAAATGCTAATTTGAGTGTGATGTCATGATTCTCAAAGTCAGTGGACCTTTCATTATATCTCCAATTAATAGATCCATAACAGCTGCGTATTCTTCAAATGATTTGCCCACATCATCCAGTTCATCAGTGGCCTTTGCTAACTGGGGAAATGTTCATCCAAAATTTCCTTTTGAAGAAGTGTCTTGAAAAAAGATAGCTTTTTTGAAATGCTTGGATTTTTTTTGCCACATATCATTTATAGACTTAGTTTTACCTTACAAAGAAATATTCAAGCCATTTTGATTAGACACAATATCACAGAAATGCTGCATTCCTATAGAAACCGTCTTTTAATAATTCACATTGCTGAATAATTCTGTTCGTCATAAAATTTAACTATCTGTTCTTACAGAGATAAATTTTTGGCTAACACCTGTCCCTGCAATAGCCAACCAACGCACTTTAGAATGATATGGCAAATCCACACCGAATACCTCACCTTTGGACTTTAGCATGTTATGAAACTGACCATGCCGAATTGCATTTGTTCTAATATAGTTAACAATACTTATAATTTGTTGCAAAGTGTCACTTAAAATAGTAGTTTTAGCACAGAGATTTTTCAAATGCACGATAATGAAAAGAAATAAGAGCATCCAGGTCTGTTAATACTTTTTTTCCTTCATGCAATAAACCCTTCATGTTTTCCTGTCACGGAAGGTGCACCATCTGTATACTCACTCGCTAAATTTACCAAATTCAGTCCAACTTCATGACGTTTATCTTGAAAGTTGTTGATATCTATTCCCTGTGTTCTGTTCACAAGAGTGCCCAAAGTGAGTAACTCTTCATAGCAAAGAAAATCTTCTGTTAGGACCTGAATGAAGTAAAAAACCTGCACTGAGTCAGCAGTATCAGTTGATTCATCCAAAGCAATTGAATAATATATAGTTTCCTTTTCAAATATTGCATGAAGTTGTTCTGTTAAGTTGAAGGCTAATTCATGCTGCTGATCTGTTATAGTTCTCCTTGAAAGAGACCGTTGTTTGTACTACGAAACATTAGCGGGTCTAAACATCCTACAACTTCGACAATGCATTCTTTTACAGTTTCTACATCACTGAATGGCTTCCCTTTGTTCCCGAGTATGTAAGCTACTTTACAAGTTGCTTCAGTGGCATTATTTCCAGGTCTTATTGCTGCTTGAAGGAATTGTCTTTGCTTTTGCTTCTCATCTTTTAATTTCTGCCATACAACCTTTCTCGCCTCTCCAATTTAAATATTTGTGGTCCTCATGAGTGTTGTAATGCTGATGAGCATTGGATTTCTTTAATGTCAATATTGCAGTATCACAAAGCAAGCAAATCATATTATCTTTAGCTGAAACAAGATGATACTGCAATTCCCAATCCTCATTAAAAAATCTGTTTTCTTCCTTCAGTGTTCTCTTGGTCTTCTTTGACATGATGCGCTGTTAAGCAGACAGAATTTAAAATTTTTTTTTTTTTTTTTT